TCTGACAAAATTATGTTTATAAATCCTTTTAAATTTATCAAACAAACTATATATAATATAACAATCTTATAATTAACATCAAGTACAATTCGTTATCTTTGATTGTCTACTATTAAAGCTTTTAAAAAAAGCACGAGAATTTTAATTATTATCATGCATGTCTCAAGGAAATATATAAAGAGTACGCACGTTTTGCCCTGTATTATGCAATCGCGTTTCGTGTGTGCTACTTTTTTACACTGGGTTCATGTCGTGAGAGATTTAATGATAAACTTGGCGACTTTCCCCCCCTCGCGAGGCGATTTTTCCTTAAAAGTACCGGTTTTATACCCACGTAATATCGACGCAATTTTAATGTTAATATTGTTCAAATACTTCTATCATTTTTCGGCCATCAGAGACGACGATCAGAATCAAACGGAGACGTACATTTTATCTCCGTGTCAAATGCGCGTATTGGAGATATATATTATACATTCTTCATTGGGGAAAAGGCAAAGTGGAAGACGTGCGCCACTTGACTGTGTTTTGATCGGTTTTTCTTATTTACGAGACAACCGCATTCGTGAATTATGCATTTCGTCTCGCAAGTGATATCGCATGACAAGCGTTGCCTCTTTGACAGCGACAGCTCTTTGCAACGTCAATCGTGCATCATACATCCCGGAAGCAAAACAAACGTCAGTCATTCACCGTCGATTCCGAAGGAAGTCGTGACGGTGACGAGAAACTGTAGGCTGATGGACGTTTAGAAGGACTCGACTTCTCCCATTCGAGTAATATCGAATATAATATTAAAGCGAGCGCAATCAGGTGCGAGTTGCATGTTCCTCTACTGGTGCGGCTTCTCTCGCTTCGGACGTCACAATCCAATATACTTACAAACACGATGAAGAAGTCCTAATACGTTAAATTCAATTCGCGCTTCAGTGGAACAACAGATTTTACGTTTTCGTATGATTTTACGTTTCGCTCTTTAAATCGGCAATAAAAGCTCCGGTAATTCCGTGACTAGGAATTGCACCTTCGCTACAATTTTTAAACCATAGGAACCTCGACCTTACATGTCGATCGTTAAATTGGCATACTTTTATGTCAGCACATCCGGTCTTTACAATCCTAATTAAGTTAGTTAACTTAGTAATAAGGATCGATTTACTTTTTCCTTGTGTTACTATCATTATCGTTGCTATTATTATCGCACGACTATCAAACCTCTTTTTCTTCCTTCGATAATTTTAAGAAGCTACCTGCCAGTTTTTTCGCAATTTATGTAGGAAGATTTACGGAGGAGGGACGCGAATATTAATCTTAAAGTTCAAAGGTAAAGGCGAGAGGGTATATCAATTTTGTACGACTTCATGCAATTTTACTTTAGCATAGCAATCGCACATATATATGCCACTGGGACCATCGATGAACGGTGAGGAGCCAAATTCGCGGGAGATCATGACGGACAATCGGTGGTACCCGAAGGACGAGACGTAGGGGGATATGTCCGGCTGCTTGTCGTCATCTATGACAGGATCGACAGATGCGGGGCCGCTGCAGCCCCAGGAAGAACCCGCGTCGCTTCCCGTCGCTCGACCATCGTCCTTGTCGGAGGACAACGGTTCGTCCGCACGGCGAGGTAGTCGTCATCGTCACCAGCCGCGACGTAGGATGACGTCCGCTCCGCCGTCTGGGCAAGCGATACAACTGACACCTCTTTGGGAACACGTGGTACGTTTGGGATAAGAGTATTTTATACTCTCTCAATTCTTTGGAGTGGAATCTCTAAAGAGTGAAAATTGAGCTAGTCTTGAAAAAGAGTGGCTCAATTAAAAATTTTTAAGAGTGAAATTTCACTCTTCAGAATGAGATTCAACTAAAAGTTTTAGGCTGGGTTGTTCTACTTTTTGGTAAACTTCAGCTCACTGTCTTGTTAGGCCCAGTTTCACAACTCACGGTTAATACCCAATTTTTTCACCTCTAGATAACTTTATCCAAGAGATATCTTTCAGAATACAATGGAGATATCTCCTGGATAAGGTTATCCGCAATTTATCTGGAAGTGAAGAAATTGGGCATAAGTCCTTAACCGAGATTCAACTTGTTTCTCATCTCTTTCCAATTCTAGAATTGAAAAGAGATAATGAATAAGTTGAACCTCGGTTAAGAGTTAACCGTGAGTTATGAAACTGGACCTAACTCTCTTACTCTCTTATGCTCTTATTCTTTTACTCTTTTTTTCATCCAATAGGTAAATTACCACATAGTTCATCTCAAGATGAAACAACCGGCCCTTATAAAGAGTATTTTATACTGTTGTCGCATATTTCTACGTGTTTTATCTTCTAATTTTCCTTTTTGGAAACGAATAAATTTGACAAGCTGATTGTCTTTGGCCAGGTACGTACGCGTAGGTTTCCGTCCGAGGTCGACACGCAGGCCACCTTCATCGAGATCTCCGAGAGACTTCGGGATCCAGAATGGGAGGTTCGTCAACACGCCCTGCGGGTGCTGATGGACGTTTTACCGACGCTGAACACCGATGTCGTTGACAAGGTCATGCAACCAGTGGTGCCGGAATTGATCAATAATTTGGGACATCCAGCGCCGGCGGTTCGTAAGGGCGCCCTGGACACGCTGCGGGTCTACTTGGTTCATAGCCCCAACAGGGAAAACATGGTTAAAAACGTAAGTGCCCGTAACTTACTTTTTTTACCTGTAGCTTCCTTTTAAATCTATATTTATCACCTTTCTGAAAATCTAAAAATTTTATTTCTTCAATTAATGAAATTTATCAAAGCATTATTTCATAATATTATGATGACGATTCTTTTCTATAAATAAATTTTAAGCTCAATTGCTTTTAAATCCAAATACTGTACGAGTTTTTAAAACTTCTCTATGGTCTCTTCTAAAACTCGTCTATGGACATTTAATTTTTACGAAGATAACGATACAGTATCAAGAAATGTTTTCATTTATTTCAGATCCTTCACGACGGCTTGAATCGCCCGGATGCTCACAATCCATTTCAAACAAACGTGACGACAGGCGTGATTCTGAGCGCACCTCTGCTGCTCTTTCCATCTTCGAATAGTCCTCCTCCAACAACGCAGATCCTGAAAGATGCCACGATCGCCTTCGCCTCACGATTGGTCCAGGTACCACATCAAGAAGCCGTTCTGAAGTCTCTCATGAAGATCCGTGACGCAGTCGGTGAGGAAGAATTCGAGAGTTACTTAGCAGATTATGACGACAAGTTTAAGAAGAACATCGATATTCTCTCCAAAATTTACAATATCAAGCCGATCAAAAAGAAGCAAGACAAGAATCGCACGCAAGATATTATGAAGGCTGACAAAAAAGAGCACGTCTTCGACAAATCCTGGGATAGCGACAGCGACACTTCTGGTATCGCCGAGGAGGAAGACGAGATACCACCGTCGAGAGTCGTTCTGGAAACTGAGATCAAGTTCAACGAGGAGACGGCCATCACAATGACAATCCTGGAGGAAAAAGACGATGATGATAGCGAGGACAACGAAGTGAAGAAAAACAAGGTCGATAATAATGCGAAAAACGGCGTTATTGAAGAACCATCGTCCGCAGATAAACGCAGGACACCTAGACGCGTCCACTTTGGTGGCGAGATTGTGAAGCTGAGGACACCCGACAGCGATGATACAGAATCGATTGAGATAACGCCCAAGACGAGGATCCCACTTCCAGTGTCGCCGGCCACTAAGATGCCGGAAATGAGGAGACGACCATCATCGCAACCTTGCAGTCCTCACATGGAGAAGCGAGGACCGAAGAGAGCTTCCAGGTCAGCGTCCAGCAGTCCCAAGAGAGAGTACACGCACAACGCGCAGCTAAGTCCTAAGAAGGGTATTCTGACGAAAACGGGTGGACCTCTCATTGTAATCAATTCGGGAACAGAAGAAATGAAGAACGCGAAGAAAATAAGAAAAAGTAGTGAAACGATTCTAGAAAATGAAGCTCCTCGTATAACCAGTAGTTCGCAAGTAATTAATGAAATATCAAAGAAAGAAGAAATTACATTAATTCAGGCTGCTTCGCCGTCAGCAAATAGTGAAGACAAATTGATAAAGAGCAAGGATGAAGATGATCTGTCTAAGTCGGTTCAAATTGCAGCGATAGAAGCCTCGAAAAACGTATCTTCAATGGGAGAGCAAGCGATGATCCTTAAAAGAAATGATCACGTGGACGCGATTGATTCAAACAGAAGCAATGTTTCTGAAGTCTCTTCGAGGCAAGAGAGGAATTACACGACGACAAAATTATCAAGTCCAGAACAGAAGAAGACACTTCGAGATAAGGACGACAGCTTCGAGTTAGAAAAGGAATGTTTGAACGAACAGAAGTCGGAAAACAGCTTGTCTCACAGATCCAACAGTTTTCCATTCGGATCGCCAGTAAACGAGTGCAATGCGCAAATAGATCGTCTGATCGGTGGCGACTTCATCGACGACGACGACGACAACGACGATGACAACGACGACGATGAACGGGACGTGCGTACCTATGGCATGATTACGGACGATCGTGCGGTGACCATCGTGAACGGCGAGGGACGAAAAGAGTGGCGCAGCCAGCACGATAAAAAGGAAGGGAACGCTTCGGAGGGAAACGAAAGTGTCACTTGTAGTAGCAGCGAGGGCGAGGGTAAACCGCAGGAACCCAGCTGGGAGGAATTGGGATTGGTTGGCCAGGAGGTGTTGGATGACCTGCACAACAAGGTAAAAAATCGGATATTTCCGCGATTAATAAATACCAATATTTCATGCGCGTACAAATTTATTACATAAAACATATTGTTAATTTTTTTAATGAAATATTTAAATGCTTATAAATGCGTCTCTTGATAAATACAACGCTTTGCACATATTATCTCCCTCGTCGAAACTTATAAACAGTATTATAAACAGTAACTATATTTTTGGTATCACTTTTGAAATTCCTCAAATAATATTGTATTAAGCTCATCGAAGTATTGATATTTAATGTCGGATTATATATAGAAATTATATATAAAAGTTGATTCGCGCAAATAACAAAAGAAAGAGATCTTTAAAACTGTGGACGGATCCAGCTAATTCAGTTGGACTCATAGACCTCAATATATTATATATCACAGTTAGAAAAAATCGTGATGTTATTCTTTGAAGAAATTCAAGTTAGATGTGACTTCGTGAAAATTCACATGAGATTCATTGGCACCATTCTTGCCGCGTGTTAGCAGGGTAATGCCCTGCTTCAGGTTGTCGCGATCCTTGACGATTAACGTATCCACTTGAGGACCCTTGACTTTAGGACAAACCGCCGGTCCGATACATTAGGTATGGTGAGAAGTAGGTCGATCGATTTTCGTCGTCGACAAAAGTTCGTCGCGTGACGTAATGTGATTTAAGCTCCATCAATTATCAGCATTACGTGTGCGCATGTAGGGACTTAACGTACCTTTCTCTCTTTTGTCTTTTTTTTAAATCTCAAATGAGATGCCTGCTCTGTAGGCCATCGATGGTTTACATCAGTGTTTTAGACACGATTATATTATTATAAAATTGTGCTCAATAGACTGTTGACACAGAGCTTGATATACTGCTAACTTTAATTAATTAATAGACGTAGCATATTCGTAGTAAACGTCAGGCGAATAATCGAACAATTCAAAATCCAGCCTTAACTTCTCGTACAGTCTACGCACCATCTCTCTGTTTAACTGGCTGAAATATATCTTGGAGGCGTTAGCGTATCTGTTACTATGTCTCCATCTGGGCTCGATCTTGTCTTGCAATCCTAATTTATTGATCGCATACACCTGATCTCTCCACAGCGATTCCACCTGTAAAATTATTATTACGTTACAAGAGCTTTAAAATAATCGCTGACATGATGTTTCGTTAAAAATTTCAACACATATATCTAATATTTTTGAAATATTTGATACTAGAAGTATACCAAGCGGTCATTATTGACTGTTTTTATCTTTTAAATTAATATTATATGTTTTGTATAAAAGACAGAATTTTTAAATATTTTCAATAATTATGTTTTATATTAATAAAATATTTAGTTTTTCATCACTTTTTTTAATTTCATAGTAATTCATTCGCTTGGTACTTTTACCCACAAAGTAGCACAGCAGTAACTACAAAGCGCTAAAAAAGTGCTTATATGCTTTTTTAGTGCTTTTTTAACGCTTTATAAGCTCTGTGTGATACTTAGGTACTTTTATTAGTGTTAACACAAAATATTACAAGATTACGACAATTAGCGATCTCAGATACGATTTTCGATACCTTCGCGATGATGTCGTATTTGACGAGACACGGCGTGCAAAAGAGATAATATGGCATCCAATGATCGTCTCCGTAACTGCCTAGGTCAGTCTTAATCATGTATTCAACAAACTCTCGGAAAGTCGGTTCCACTCCAGCCGGCGGCGGTACATCCTCGCGTCGAATCACTTGATTCGACCGTGGCTCCGTGAAATTTTCTTCTGAAAGTTTATCGTAATCCAGTGCCGTTCTTTTTCTTTTTCTTTAATAAAATTAAAATTATATTCGACACGCGTTTCCAAAACTTAATCCTTCAATCAATAGATACTTAGTAGATACATATCTATATCGAGAATTTTAAACAGTAAAAAATTTTATATTTTTATTTTGTTATAACACCTAAAAAATTATCCTATTCTTCGAATAGCAAAGAGCAGTTTGGCACAGACTTTATCTCGTTTTCATTTTTAACGTTTTTAATAGAAATCTTGTGAAACATGTTAATGACAAGGTGAAAAAGTAATTACTTATCGACAGAAGGATTAATCGCGAAAATAAATCTATCCTCGATAACGGTTATCGCGCAGAGTAAAGAAAAGGATTTTCAGTCAACGTTTCTCCCTCATCTCTCCTCTTCCCACGACTTACTGCGATACTTCCGCACAATCTTGGCCCCGAATTTGCGATAGAAGTAAAGCGTCCCGTGTTCCCGTCCGGCGATGGAGTTCTCCAATTTATCACGATAGGCGCTTAGCAGCCTCTCAAAAGGATGTCGCACGACCAATAACTTCCTGCTCGTTGTCAGAACGTGATCGGCCTCAGGATACTCAAGTTCCGGTATCGCTCTTCTGGCGATGGTCGACAGCTGCTCTTTGCCACTGTTCAGCGTCTCCTCGGGCACGTTCATTAACAGACAAAGATTATAGAGCCAGGTCGTGGTGCCGGCTTTATACACCGGACAGTACGATATGTTGTGTACTCTGCGCAAAAATCGTCATCTTGTGGATACCTTGACACCTTCGATAAGGATCGATCGTTAATAATCAAAATATATTTTCTTCTTCCTTTCTGATACTTTTTACGAACCTGTCCATATAGAAAATGGCATACTGCGGCGCAGGTGGATGCTTGAATAGAGAGTCATCGGCGAGCTTTCGATAAAACCCCAAGTTATACTTTTTGCATACCCTTTCAACGTTCAACGATCGTCGTGTGTTGTCCGCTTCGACCTCGATCTGAGATAAACGATTCAGAATTATACTCGACCTCCTTAAGATTTCAAATCTCTTAGTGACTCACCATCAGTTTTCTCAGATCGTCATCGACGGGAAGAGGTCTGCTCTCGTCGCCGATAACGGCGATGGACAGCTTCAGCGTCAAGAAGACAACTCCAAGGCAGACGATGATTTGAAGTATCCGGAAAGATGTGGTTCTCACATTCACAGTTTTGCGAATGTATCATTTGGCTGTATCTTCCGCTTGTGATTTTTCAAAGACGGAATTTTCTAAAACCCACGAGACGAACATTCTCTCCGCCTTCTGCTGAGGCAACTGACTGACCGGTTTCGTGCACCGTTTCGCCGACAGTGATGGATCTAAAGTACTGCCAGCCCCAAGCAATCCGTTTGGTAACAAACGATTATAACAAAGTATTGTTATAAGTGCACCATTATTTTTTATGACTTGGACGATTCTGTCAGCTTATATTGAACTTATCGCTTCACAACGAGATGTCATTTTTTAAAATGTCTCCTATAATATCTAATATCTAATATTGATTGCAGATGTTAAAAGCGTGCTAAAGTTATGTAGATTATATAGCTGTATTTCAATTTCTACTCCATAAAGCCTTTTATATTATTTTAATCAATTTTAACGAGAGATAGGAAAGATAGGTAAACCAGTACGATAGATAAGTCCACTCCTGAAGTTTGTGAGTGGGGAATGTCATGGTCAAAGAATTCCATGTTCTAGCATACTAATTCCGTTAGCTCAGCTGTTCAAACGGTGCAATCGCTCTCGGTAGCGATCATGTAACTTTTTAATAAAAATGTTCACTTTTCACGTTTGCACTCCAGAGAAAAAGTTACACGATCGCTATCCTGATAGAGACTTAAAACCAATACGAAAAGATAAAAATTCGATTAATTAACGATCAACGATTAAATTCATTACTGCGAAAAAGTTGATCTTAAAGAGCTGATATAGGCTGCTTTCCTTTTAAGAGACACAGTCGACACAAGTATCATTCTATCTTTGTTATTCATTGAATATGCCAAGAATTAAGGATAGAGCGACGTTTGTGTCGACTGTCTTCTAAAAGAAAAGCAGTCGTGGATCAGTTACAATAATATAAGACCGAGGCTGCTAAATTTGTATAAGGAAACATTGTATTCGCGGTACTGATGTATATATGATTAAAGTTCCAGCAATGACCGTTATTCGCAAGTATGCCTTATGTTCATTCAGTGAGTAACTTCAAGGTCGCTGCACCGGCTGCACTAGACCTTTTTATGAATGCACGTGCGACCTCGTCGACGCGCGTCTACGAGAAGCCTGTGAAAATAAATACCGATTCCACACGATCGATTTCCATGGGACTTTGTTCGCCGCAATCAAGGGAACAGAATATATATATGTATGTCTACGCGAATACATATATATCTATCCCGAACAAGGCTTCGACTTATTCGCAACATGCATCGTACGCTGCATAATTGATCCGCGATGTCACCTGCGGGTTCTACCTATCTCACCTGAGTTAGCTGCTTTAAAGTTCAATGTAAAGTCGATTCTCGGAAAAAATTTAACAAAGCTGCTTTACGTAATCTTTTTTCATTTAAATATTTAGGAAATTAAATTTGCAACGTTATTATAGAATGTTGTTATGGAAGCAGAATTTTTTTATACATTAAGAAGCGCCAGTATCGGTCTGAACGTTAAGATGTTGAACTATTTTAAATTCATTTTTAAACGAATTAATTTTCAGAAATTATAATTGAGTGCCGATATGGTTGTCGGACTTTCAACGCAATCAAATCTGAAATATTAATAATCCCCCCAAAATTCCCAACTTAAAAACTGTAATAAACTTATTGCGAAAAATTTTTTTGATACGAAAATGTAGATGTTTCATAGTCTCTGTAATTCCCATACAGAGATCATTCCAGTAATATTTCAGTAACATTACAAAAGTTGCTGCAAGCTTCTGTGCTATATGAGCTGCTATTCTTCCTAATTAAATCGCGAAAGTATGATAATTTACGAGAGATGCAAAAATCCTTCGAGGACGTAGCTTTTTCTTTCTAATCGATTCATGATGAGAACGATAAATAATGTCGCTTCTATTCTTCTTTACGCGCAATATAAAGAGTTAACGCCGAGTTTATGAGCGCAAACGTACTCTTATGTCACGCCGCGCGATACGACTCTCCGAGGCTGATATCAGCGCCCGTATGAATATTCCGCGGGTGAAAAACGACGGGAGATCTGCCTCGCGGATCGTTATGCTAGGGACGGGCGTACAAGAGAGGGTAAACGCGCGCGGTAAGCCGCAAGAAAATAATTAGGCACGTGTTGCGTGCCGCGTCGTTCAGGTCCAGGAAGGCGTCATTCTCGTGTATATGCAAATCGTCGGCAATTGTACCCGTCGCGTTGCACCGACGTGGTAAGTGCAATTTTCAAACTGTTCTCTGATTCATTGTGGCGCAAGTACCAGATATATATATATATATATATCGATAGATACTCTTAAACTCGTCGCCTTTGTTCGCCGTTTGTCGACTCGTAAACGTGTCTTCAAAAAAGCGCGAAAACGGATGAGAACGTTAAAAAAATATCGAAAAGGTAATTGCATACATCGACCGTGAGGAAAAAATACGTTTAAAAAAATATTAATGCAAGGTCCGTATTGATTCCGCGGTTATAGAGCCCGATAGAAGTGCACGCGGTGAGAATGCGGATGTATTGCGTTCAGTTCCGCTGCGACGATCAATAATGTCGACTGTGAATTTCTAGCGACACTACTCACCTGTTTGTAATTGAGTATGAATTCTTTTATTTTGATTTGTTTTTATTAAGGAGAGAGAATAGAAGGAAATCACGGTCCGTGATTTTCTTCCGTGATTCACGAAAGTAGAAGAAAATCAAGACTTAGGGCCATGACACACAAAAAACTTAAAGCAGTAAGACGTAAGTAGTAAGGAAATCAACATGTTGAATTGGATATTGCTTACGTTATGGCCTTACGGATTCTACCATGATTGATCAATTACTTACTGCTTACGTTTTACTGCTTAAGTTTTTTTTGTGTGCCATGGCCCTTAAAAAGATGTTTGCGATTAGAAATGACTCACATATGCGATTAAAGTAGCATTTTAGCGATTAGATATTCAAGTATTTGACCAGTTAATCCTGAGAACAGCTGGATAAATGTGGCTTATTCTTATCACGTGTAATTGTTGGGAGATTTGCATGTGCACGCGAAATAATTCCACGGATAGAAGAATGAAACAATTGGCGAAATCGATCTTACGATAAAATTAATTTTTATTCGTCAGACATTTCGATGCGTGAACTGATGATTTTCTTTCAAAGAGGATCGTACATTTTTAAATTATTTAAGCAATATTGATATTTTAACATTATAGAACCATCGATGATATTCCGTTAGAACTGTCGAAAGTGTCAATTTAATAATTTCCTTGCTTTCATTTGTTATTAAAGATTTATTTTGATATTATTTATTTTATTATAATTATTTATATTATCATATATTTTCAATATTTTGTACTGTATATTTAATACAAAAAAGAAAAGAATTGAAACGATTAGCGGAGTCAAAATGACACCATCGGCGATTCCAATATTAAGCACGCAAAACTCTAATACAAATTTAAATATTCATATGTTACATAAATAAATATTTCTCTCTTACCACGCAATTAAAATGATATGACATCCTACAACTTTTTTCCTTGCAATCAAATATTTGATGACGTCAAAGTGTAACTGATAAAATATCACGTGGAATGGGTTTGTTTGACGATTACGGTGTATGACGTGTCGCAGGAATCTCAATCATCCTTTCGTCTGATATCTTGTCACTTTTGCAGGACGACTGGCGAGCGCGTGTCAGAGGTCTGGAAAGAGTTGCGTCAGCTCTGCGGACGTCCTCGGCGCTAATCGCGATAGAGTCGCGATTAGGATCGCTTTTGCATGCGGTGCTCGGCGGCGAAAGGAGCTGCCGCGTGGCTGCCGCCGGCTTAGCGGTGGCGAAGGTGAGCTCGTAACTCCTCGCACCTCAAGATCGCCCTTAAATACATCGAGATTTAGGCTAATTCATCGCCGGATAACGCTGTGAGCCTTATTATTAAGTAATATGTACTCCGCGCGATAAAACGGGATGATATCTGTCATCGATCTTTAAACTTCGACATCTCCTAATCGACCTCGATGTTTAAAAAGTTTCTTTCAAAGTAGAGTTTAATTCTTAAAAGCCACACTATGAGAACAACACTCTGCACCTGAAAAAGTTTACTAAATCTTAATACATACTTCTTTGAATAGTGCTAATAACATTTGCAGTGAATAAATATTTACTCCATAAAAAAAGATAGTTGTGATGAATTAATGAATCAATGGTTTTTGTATCAAATAAATATGTTTATATTTAAGTAAATATTTATTTACTATTCAAACAAAAATATTCATTAAAATTTATTTAAAAAATTTGAAATTACTCAAGACTTTGAAAATTCACTGAAAGTTTCGATACTGCAAGATTCTTACGAGTTTACAATATCGATATTCGCATTCTCGACCTTAGAAGAATTTAAACTCGAGTTACCAAGTTTTAAAGCGCAAGCAGCAAGGACACCTATATGACATGTATATCCAGTGCGAGAGTTGCGTAGAAGACACTTTTAGCGCGACGCGGAGAGAAAATAATACTCTGCAACTTTTTCATAATACCAAAGGTTCACGTGTTGTTGTTCAACTTTTCTAAAGCTTATATTGTTAAACTTTTCTAGAGCTATACTTTCGCTATGTGTTCTTAGAAACTACTTTATATTTCAGGTAGTGGTCGCCGGTGTCTCGGAGGATGCACTAAGAAAGAAATTACCGCAGCTG